ATAATAATAATAATAATAATAATAATAATAATAATAATAATAATAATGGATAAGCGCAGTCATGTGCCAGCAAGATAAGTCTTAAAATAGCACAGCTTTCTATCCTGTCATCTGAAGAGCTTATTATATGCAGATAAAACTAAATTCCTGACAGAAGGGGTGATGCGTCTTTGCAGAGCACAGCCGCATCAAACACATCGCAGTGTTCTTTACTTTTTGGCTGAGCATCCCTCACACTCTGCCCCGTGAAGCCGTCTCTGTCCTCCTGCTAAGCCATCTGTATTTCCAGGATCTGGTATCCATCACTTCTTATCCATCTCTCCAGACAACTGCTGTTGTCTCTGTTTGCTTTCATCACTACTTCCACTTAATGCTTCCTTACCCACCATTACTTTAGTATTAACTGCATGATGTATGCCGCTTCTCACCATCATGGTGGGGGTTGCCCAGGGTCCAAGGCTCGTCTGAGTCAAAGTGCGTGTCCCCTCCTATGCCTGGGCCTGGAAAGTAAGCGTGAGCAAGAAACCCGCCCTCCCCGTCAAAAGGTGAACTGTCGCCGTGAAAGCCTGAAGCGAAGATGATAGTGATGTCCACGTCACGTCTGCCAGTCTCCAGGGCACTGAACGGAACAGCTTCAAAGCGTAGAGGAGTCACGCCCTGCCACACGTCAAACGCCCGCCGAATGGCATCATGAGTCTCTCGGGAGCCCACCTTTGGTGTGATATTCTTGATGCTGCAGGAAGAGAAACAAAACACATAATTAAAGGCATGCTTTCATGCTAGAGTTTAAAACAAAGGTCATCTTATGCTGAATTTTTTTTCTCAAACATGGTAGATATGACGATATCTCACAAGATGTCGAAGCACTCAGAGGGTGACTCTCAGCTGCGACTACACCAAATTTTAGCTCAGTATCTGTAATATTATGGTAGTTAAGAGACATTTTTGTAGTGGCTAATGTTGAATAAATGTGATCATCTTAATGAAAAGGGTGAATGGTTTATAGCCGTATCCTGACCTATATCAAATGGTTCAGTTTAAAAGATAAAAAATGGGAGTTTTCCAGATATCTTGATAGAAAAATCTGAAATGTGGGTTCAAACTTCTTTTTTTTTTTTTTTTTTTTTTCATTTAGCCTTTATTTATCCAGGTTAGTCTCATTGAGCCACGAGAACTCATTTTCAAGAGAGACCTGTTTTAGGGAGCACATGGTGGGGGTTAAGGGCCTTGCTCATGGGCCCAGAGTGGGGCGAATGAGGGTGGGGGCAAGTGTGGGTGCTTCACCTACCCCACCCACAATTTTGATGTTGTCGGGGCCGGGGCGTGAACCGGCGATCTTCGGATCACAAGCCCACCTCTCTAACCTCTGCGCCACCACTCCCCAATGCTTTTAAATGAAGCATGTGTGATTGACCTATATTAGGCTGGTTGTAGTCTGTGTGGATGCAAACAAATAGGAATGGGACAAGAGTGGAATCTCAGAGAAGGCATTTAGGTGTAAATGTATTTATTTATTATTAACCTTTATTTAATCCCACTGTGATCATGGATCTCTTTTGCAAGGGAGGCCTGGGCCTGAAGGCAGCCTAACATGCATGTTTTTGGTCTGTGGGAGGAAACTGGAATATCCGGAGAAAACCCACGAAAGCACAAGAAGAACATACAAACTCCACACAGAAAAACCCCAGGTCCAACCGGGGATTGAACCCATAACCTTCTTGCTGTGAGGCAACAGTGCTAACCACTGAGCCACTGTGCTGCCGAAATGTAAGAGTGAATCTACTGATGCAAACAGAAAGAAAATATACATATGACAACAGTCAAGAACGAAAATCGTACATGAAGCAGGAGCGCCATAAAGACAGAGCTCAGCACTCAAAGCAGCTTTTGCAAAACTTTTTTAGGCCGGCGAGGTTACCATGTCAACATGATCTTTTTATCTGCATACATCCAAATTGTTGGACTTCTTGATCTCAAACAGATCTTACATGGACATCACTCTTGTTTTACCTATTTTCAGTCATTTCAGCTGTTTTCATAAACAAATGCACGTTAGTTAGCAGTTGGTCACAGTTTATTTATTTATTATAAACTTTTTAGGAACCATTGATATGAGAGAAATGTGTGGATTTTGTGTCTTACTGTACAAATTGTCAAGGGAATTTAGGTAAAGGTTATGGATGTTTATCAGCAACTAATGTTAATGAGTTAGTTGTCTGCTCAGAGAGGAGCCTGCAGGTGCACGGTGGCACGTCTGTAAGCTGGAAAGCCGATCCAGGCACAGATTCTCACTGACGAGGCTCAAAACATGTCGCTTTTGTACATCGGTGAAAGCTTCCTCATGACCTGTGCAAGTAAAGACCAGTTATAAAAATATTCTCATGTCCTCGGAGTGACTTATTTGAGTAAGCAGATGATGAAAGGATATTTATTTTATCCAACACAAATCTTCTGACTGGTCTTGGCCATATGTTGAAATAGGTACCTTTAAATTCCGTCTTGTGGTTCAATAGGTATTTTGCTAACAGACAAACAGCGTTAAAGCCAAAAACTTCAGGCAAAAACACAGCACAGTTTCAAATGCTGAAGAATATTGTGAGAATGATGCTCAGCTCCCCCTAAGTTTTAATAAATATCTGTAAATTTGCCCAAGTTATAGTTGTTTTTAATTATTTATTTTGGCTTTGTGGCCATGTTGGATTGGGTCGACTTCAAAAAATGTTCAGTCATAGATGGACGCTCAGTGATAACTTTCTGAGAAACTTGTTAATATTTGTAGAGTCGTTCATGAGATAATTTACTCAAGCTACACACACACACGTGTTCTTGTAAACATACATTTTGGGGACTTTGTATTGACTTCCATTCATTTTCTATAGCCTAACCCTGACCCTTACCCTAAACCTAACCATTACTAGAACATGCCTAACCCTAACCCATCCGCAATTCACACCTTAGTCCTAAACCTAACCCATAAACCGCCAATGAGACTTCTCCTTATGGGGACCTGTCTGGTCCCCATAAAGAGCAGCTAGTTCCCACAATGCATGATTTTTTTTTGTAAAACTTGTCCCTACAAGGTAACCTGAAACAAAAACGCACACACAGACCCTCTTGCTTTCTGCCGTCTGTGGCGGTCAATAAACAGCTTTCAGAGAAGTGGAAGTTAAAACTGCTTTGTAATAACAGTCTGAGAGACGTACCAATCTCAGAACTACGGGGAATAAAATATTCAGGAAAAGCTTAAAAAAATATATATATACATTGCGTCTTCCTTTTGCCTTGTTATCCCATTAATGTTGTGTGAACATTTTCACTTTTCAGAATGAGCAGAAACCAAAAAAAAAAAAAAAAAAAAAGGTACACTTGACACAACTACTTGAAGCCCAGCAGCTCCGGCTGAACTTTGAACACAGCAGTCGTTATCTGAGGCTGGCAGGCAGAGAAGGAGAAGGAAATCTTCTTTCTCTCGCTCCGCTCATTTATTTTTTTCTCTCCTTACAAATAGCGTGCAGGCAGCGACTCAGCACTGATTGACGTTCCATTAGGAGAGGTGCCTCATCAATTCACATTCAGCTAGGAAGGAAGGACGGATTTGAATAAATTGCCCGTGTTATCATCTTTTTGCTGCTGGAACCTGTCAGTTTGCAGTTGTGCCAGCGACCCGTTTATCGGTTCTTCTTGGAACCTATTAAAATCCCAAGCTTAATTTCTACCAGATGAGATGAGAGTTTGACTGTTTCCGTCGACTTTATCAATAACTCACACATGTGAGTTATATGCTATTTTACATAAGGGGGGGGGGGGAGGAAAATCCATCCTCTGTCTCATTAGCAAATAATCTCGTGAACAGGTCTACAAATTTTAATGAATTTCTCATACGCATTGCTTCATTTGCGCTGCTTGCTATTTATGCGCTGAATGGCAAACAGTCAACACCCTTTCTACGTGTTAAACTGTGTGTTTCTGCATGTGTGACCGTCATACACCAGCCCCCACACGTGTGACGTATTTGTTCGGTCTCTATGACTACACGGAGCATGAAATCCCAGGTGGTTAAAGTGGTTGAGATGTGGGACGGAGGAGAGCTGAGAACATTTTCACCGTCACTTGGGGATCTGATAACAGCATAATAACTGCCCCCCACCAGTGGGTCTCACCTGTAGGTTATATGTGTGCGCTGCCACTTCTGGCCTGTCAGCGCGAATCTCCGCCTCCGTGACCTTGTGACGCTTTTTAATTTGTCAGGGACTCCACAGCGGGGTCTCTCCATCCAGCTGAGAGGTGGGTATAAGAAAAGACAAGAATGGAGGATGAACTTATAGTTTCAAAACTAAAAGTTTGCATCATAGTTTGAAACACGAAAAGTGTAGTAGGAAAAGGATCACAGACTGATTTTCATTTAACGCTGAACCAACACAAAAAGGAACGCAAATTAAAATGAAATCCTTGGAGGAATGCATACTGCCCAGCGCTGCCTTTCATAACAGACTGGTGCACGAGATATTCTGGAAACAAACAGATTTGGCAGCAAAAGTTCATACTAGAATTTTAAGCAAAAGTGTTAAGAAATGAGTATCACTCAGATTGTGTTGTGACTAACTCTCGGACTACTACCATACCAAGTGTTAGCTTAATATCCATAAAATCAGCAGAGCTTTAGCCATTTTTGTGTTAGTTAAAGTTGATAAGCGGCGGAAAAATTGGGTTAGCTCCTGTTGTTACTAAATACAATCCAGCCATTTATCTTTTACCCGCTTCTTCCTTTTCAGGTCACAGGGGTCACTGGTGCTCATATCCAGCCATCACTGTGCGAGAGGTGCGGGACACCCTGGACAGGTCTCCAGTCCATCACAGGGACACATAGAGACAAACAACCATTCACGCTCTCACTCACACCTAGGGACAATTTAGAGTTACCAATCAGCCTAACATGCACGTTTTTGGTCTGTGGGAGGAAACTGGTGCAGAAAATCCACGCATGCATGGAGACAACATGCAAACTCCACCCAGAAAGGTCCCGGGCTGGGATTCTGTCTGTCGATCTACTCGCTGAGAGGCAACAGCTCTACCAACTGAGCCTCTGTGCCGCCAAACTAAATATAAGTTTTAGTGTATGATGGAGAGTTTTGCCAACAGAGTTGACTTCAAAAGGTAATGGTAAAAATTTGAAAACATCTTACACAATCAGTAATCGACACGTTGGTTTTGGGTGGTCCTCAGCTACTAATAAAACAAATTAGAGCAGAATATCTGTGAAACTGGCTGAGTTGTCATCATTGCTGTTTCAGGGGATTTGATGGGAATGTGGACTGAATCAACCATCTCTGTCTCTGTCCTTTAAGAAACCACTACAGTATCAATTCTGTATTTATTTACTTTTTCGTGGAACTGCTTAATCTGTGATCTGTGTTGCTCAGCTTGTGTTTGTGCACCTGCAACACGTGTCATGTATACTCACTCCTTGGTCATCTTATCCAGTGTCCCGGTGACATTGAGGCCGTAGATGCGCTGCATGGCAGCGATGGCTGAGTGCATGGTTTTGGCTGAACGTAGGACAGACATTCCTGGTTCTGTGTGGTGAAGGTAGCCATATTTCTGTAGCCATTCCTGCGGGTATGACAGAGAAGGATTAGGGCTCATGGGTAATAATGCTGATTAAACATTTTCACCGTTTTCCTGTTATTATATTTGTTAGAGTTGTGTAATCTAGCCACAAATGATTAATTGCATTTGTGCAATTGTAATTATTTACATATCAAAACATTCAGCTCACCTGGGGGAAAAGTGTTTTGACGTTTAATTTTGTAACTTTTATCATTTGCAAAGTTTTTATCCTTGTTAACAAATAATTTTCCACATAGAGATGTTTTTATTTCTTGTAAATTATTGTTCTCTTTGAAATCTGCTTCAGAATACATGCTCAGTTTTGACTTATGCTACTTTTAGTTCAGCTAGATTTAGCTTTTAGTTAATAATTTTTGCTGTTTAGCTTTTAGCCAACATTTCACTACTTTTAGCTGATAGCCTTTTTGCATTTTTATCTAGCGTTTTGTTACTTTTAGCTTCCAGCTTGCTTTTAGAATTTTTTTTAACTAGCCCCTTGCAGCTTTAAGCTAATGTCTTGCTACTTTTAACAAACAGGTTACCATTTTTAGCTTATTAATTACATTTAGCTACTTTTAGCCTCTAAGTTGCATTTAACTTCTTTTAGATTTTAGCAGACTTTTTGCAGTTTGTATCTTAGATACAATTATGTTCATTTTGGCACGGTTATACTTTGTACTTTTTTTTTTTACATTTAGCCTTTTAATACTTTTAACTTGTATTTTTTCAGTTTTTTCAGAAGTGCTCAGCACTTACTGTTTTTTAACAAACAAAAAAGTTATTCCTCAATGTATTTAAGTTGTTTCTTAACATTTTTCTATTCAATTCAATTCAATTTCAATTCATTTCAAATATACTTTATTAATCCCAAAGGGAAATTATTTGTTGTTGTAACTCGTTATCTTCTTTTCATTAAGAGATGTTATCGATGCTGATGGCTGTAGACAGGAAGGATCTCTTATAAAGGTCCATCCTACAGTGGACCCTAAGCAACTGGCTGCAGATGCCGTCTGATCCGTCCACCCAGACTCAGCTGGCCTCTCAGTTCCCCGGGCTGTAGGACTGCCTGAACGCCGGGCAGAACTCCTCCCAGAGCGATTGCCACTCCTCCCAGCAGTCTGCCGAGCTCCTCGTCGCTGCGGACAGCCAACTGTAGGTGCCGAGAGACGATCCTGTCCTTCCGCTGTCATGAGCCGTGTTTCCTGCTAGTTCCAGGATCTCCGTGGTCAGGCACTCGAGCACAGCTGGCAGGTAGATGAGAATGCATCCACAGAACATCCTTTTCAACTCATTTGAGATTTGGGGCTGCAGTTGAGATATTATTTGAGTTTTGGAGATGTTAATCAGCTGCTGTTGGTTGGAGAAAACTTCCTTGTTGCCATGGTTACGCATCATAACAAATGTCCAAAACTAAAAAAAGTTTAAGTAAAAATCCTTCCAGCTGCACAGCATCTGATACCAGAGGCAACAACTATCCAAAAACTGTGATTTACATCCAGAAAAAGAGGAATTAAAGTTTCCAAAAGCAAAATCTCAGAATGAAAGTCACAGAGCTGCTCCAACATGCAGCCACCTTGAGCGGCACAATTCTAGAATTAAAAGTTAAAATAATACAAGTAAACGATGAACAGGACCTTTGACGAAGAAATAGCTGTGGTATCACAAATTGGATGTTGGCTGTGATGCTGATTTGATTAAAAAGAGAATTTAAACAGTTTTTTTTTTTCTGTTAGACCTTTATTTCAAACAATTCTGAGAGTTTAATTATTATCAAAAATCATTACAGACATCCATTCTAATAATTTCTTCCTAAAATATAGCCATGGGGAAAAATATAATGTGTGGAAACGTGAAGGTAACAAATTTTAGAGATTTAATTAAAAACGGTTACACGTGTAAACAAATGAAAGCCACCCAGATGTAGTCAGTTTCATTACAACACCTGGAAACTATTTGAGACACATTCAAAATATAATGATTTATTCTGTAGCTGGATGTTATGTTATATTTCTGGGGTCATTTAAAAATTAAAAATGTCAAAGAAATGGCTAATTTCTCGTGGCGCTCCTGCTTTTCTTTAAACACTAAAACCTCCTTAGAGTCTGATAGAAAAGCACTCGGAGAGAAAAGTCCCCCTTCACGGACTAAGTGATCTGGACCTGCTCCAAAACATAATGGGTAATTCCTTCTGCTTTAACTCTTCAGTAAGTTTCATTAAATCCGTGTAGTGAGTTTGCACAAACTTGCTGAAACATGAGTGAAAACTGTCAATCTGGAGGGGAAAACACTGACCGTGTATCATCTGTGCATCACAAGAAGCAAATAAATAAATAACAGTTTGAGGGAGGAGTAAAGGACGCCATCTTTGTGAAGAGAACTTGCCCGTCGTTAAACGGGTGAAGGCGTCCGTGTCCAACTGCCCCCCTTCTTATAATGCTGTTATTGCATCACTCAGTCTTCTGTGAATAGCAAGCGGCCATCAGGCCATCACTCTAAATACAGCTGCATATACAAAAATCCGGGGCTTTTGTGTAAAATGTAAATAAAACAGAATGTTATTATTTGCAAATCGCATAAACCTACATTTTATTCACAAACATAGTAAGCATCCCTAAACAAACAAACAAAAAATTATATGTGACAGCAAGTCAGTAAGAGGACTGGGAATAAAAAGCTAATTTTAAAGGCTGAATCTCTCAGGAGATTGTACTGGACATCACTGGGCTCAGGAACGCCTCCACAAATCATTGTCCGTAAACACACGGATGATTTGCAACGCAGGTTAAAGCTCTATCATGCGAAGAAGAAGCCCGTTGTGAACATCAACCAGAAATGCTGCCATCTTCTCTGAGCCTACGGTCATTTAAATGAACTGAGGCAAAGCAGGAAACTGTCCTGTGGTCAGACAAGTCAAATTAAAATATGGAATTCTATTTGGAAATCCTCCGTATCAAAGAGGAATCATCTGGCTGGTTATTGGCGTACAGTTTGAAAAAAAAAAGTCTGCCTCTCTGATGGTATGGGGGTGCATTGATGCCTATGCCATGTTCAGCTTACACATCTGGAAAGGTCCCATCAATGCAGAAAAGTATACAGATGTTTCAGAACAATATGCTCCCATCCAGAAGCCTTTTCCAGGGAAGGCCTTGCATATAACAAGACTAACAGCTTTTATTACAACAGCCATCGCTTCGTATAAGAAAAGTCCAGATGTTGAACTGACCTGCCTGTAGTCCAGACCTCTCATCAAACACTGCACACATCACGAAACTAAAAATTGGACATATGTTCCACTTTTAATAAAATGAGGGTTTACAAGAGTTTCGAATCACTGAATTCTGTTTTCATTGATATTTTATACAACGAGCCAGCGTTTTCAGAATTGGAGTAGCAGTTGTGCTTCAAGAATATTGTGCAGCTCTGGACAAATGTTGTTTTGTGTGAAAAGGAGCGGGAGCGCTTCTCTGAGTTGTGAAGTTTGCAAACCCACAGGGTGACAGTGTTTCAGCTTCCAGTCAGTGTCCATGATGTGAAGGACTGCGGCCCTGACTCCTCGCGCCTCACAGTGACTTAACGCAGAGGAGAAAACACTAACGGACAGTTAATCTGAGCATCATCCAGAGGTCACGCTCCGTCTCCGAACCAGAGGTGTCCAACTAGATTATCACAACACATCTCACAGTCTTTGCTCCATGCTTCGCTATTCTCCATCCATCCCTCCTTGATCCTCATTCTTGCCGCTTCTGCTCAGCTAAACGCCTTGTTTATCTCTTCCCCCCTCCCCAAATCTTCATTCCTGTGGGCGTGTTTGTCTAAAGGCACCGATTTATTTATTTATTTGCTTTTGAACAGATACTGGGCAGATTCCAGTGAGCCATTACATTGAATAATGATGTGTGCATGTTGATGTCAGCTTCAGCATTTAATTTCATCAGGGTGGAGGGGGGGGGGGGGGGGGGGG